AAATATTTTAACAATATTATGATCTAACGATATGAATTTCAATTTTTTAAAACTACAAAGCACTTATTTTGTAAAAAAAAAAAAACTGAATGAAATACACGGTTTTTATTGTATAGGCAAGTGTTTCGTACAATATACATACGGGATTTATTTGATTTTAAAATTGATATAATGTTTTTGGTTTTTTAATTAATAATAATAATTGCCTTACGGCCAAACGACTTGAATGGATAAGCCACGTATCTGTCAAACGCTATATTATGAAGAAAACCTCGGCGGGGAAGATAAATGCGCAGAAGACCCAGGGATCCATTGTCTTAGAGAGCGTCGGGAATTAATAACGATTTAGTCGCGTGGAACAACAATATAAGATAATGTCGTTAGAGACGAATATAATGTATAGGTAACATAATAGAGATAGCGGAAATCCTCGAAAGACTGCAAAAGCTTGACGAGATTAAAACGAAGTATATTTTACCGATTCGTCTCGAGACAAACGGCGAACAATTATCTTTTTTGCGCGACTCGGATGAATTTCCCGTGTACATTTTCGTAACATGACGACATCCCTTACGCTACGCGCGCCGTTGGTTCACGTACAGGTAATATTACCTATATTAGCTCGAATTTGGTTAGTATTTCTGTTACGCGAAACAACGTTAATATCATTATAACCGAACAGTCGGGCCGTATACGCAGTGGCGCCAAATCAGTTTCAAAATAGTCTGATGAACATTAGGGCTAACCTATCGATTTATGTACCAGCAGGATAACCGCGGGCTCACATTGTCCACCGTATCCCTCGTACCGTCTAAACATTTGACTATTGAAAATCGTGTAGTTTTAATTATCTCGTCGTTTCTATTGTATATTCTAGCCAATAAATTTATCGATTTTCACGTGCTATAAAATCAAATCCCTAGCTCATGAAAATCGTGATTATATACTACTCGTATGTTGTACTAAAAAACTCAAATTCCGACTAATACAGTATGTAAAATATATTAATGTTGTTATAATTCGTTTGTCAAATCTCAAACATACTGTACAATATTATTAATGTTGCCTTCTTTAAATAATATTTTACACACCAGAGAGACACGTTTTCTATATTAAAAACCTCAACCACAACTACCTCCTCAAAAACGGGCGCTTACGAATTGCCTCCCACCTGATCCTCGAATTGACTCACGTGATTTTTTTTTTTTAAAAGATTACTCAAATTGCCTGCCGATTTCAAAAATACCATTCACTCGAATCGCTTCCTATTTTAGGCAGTGACCTTCTTGTATAGGAATCAATTTTTATTTCGATTTTTTTAAAACTTAAAACAATTATACATAGGAATTAGGTACACATGTAATTATTAAATATTAGTACACGGTGTTAGCTAATGAGTCAATGTCAAAAAAGCAAATAAGTATATTTATATGTATGGTATCAAATTTGTACGCGTTAAAAATAATCAATAAAACAAATAATTAGATAGTCAACTAATCTACTGGTAATCAGTTATCGATACAATTTTTGCATTAGAAAAATTAATCTGTCTGTGAAATACTATACGTATATATTATTATAAATAATAAAAATAATATTTTTAAACATTACGGAAATCAATATGATAATAGTACACATCAACTATCGATGCATTAATTAATAATCTAGGTATGTTATGGGAGGTAATTCGAATGGACAGTGTTAGTATACTCGAATTTCCTCCGAATAGACCCGGAGACAATTTGATTGTAAAAAGGTCACCTAACTGAATTTGGAAGGCAAATCGAGAAGGATATCCCAAGTGCGTCCCGTTTAACATTTTCACCTTTTTCATAACCCGAGTTCGTCCGCTTTCTTATAGACACGTTGTATAGAATCACCCGAATGCGTTCGCAGTCTTATGGATAAGTTAAATTAAATTTCCAGAGTTTGTCTACAGTCGTATAATCGTATGATAAATTATCCGCAGCTATAAGTACCTACCTACTTTATATTTAAAGTTTAAACAGCGGGGCGAAACAGAATTTTATTTTGATAATAACTAAGCTAGACTAGTAACTACGGCTAATAGTTGTGTAGTCTTCTAGTGAACAAAAAAACGAGGTAGTACCGTCATATTTATTGTATCTAATACCGAACTTCGAACTAATATAATAAAATTAGTATACTCACCCTAAATGAATGGGTGTAGGAAAAATAAAAAAATAATACCAATACAATAAAAAATATAAAAAATAAACAAACATTTTTTGGTGCACTATGGATAACTCTAAATGAACTAGGACGCATTTGGACTACGTTTCCAAAATGACTTTTTTTTATTGGGACGCACTCAGGACATTGGAAAAGGGCCATTTCGAGACGCATTCGGGTAACCCCGAATTCGATAGTACCCTAAAAATACGATCTGGTCTCGACGCATTTGATGAACCCCAGTGGTGCCGAACCCTTGTTCGGCATCACTGCGTATACGTGTATTATTATTTTAGCCGAAGCGACGAATTCTCGTCGAATGGACAAAAAAACAACTTTAATACGATTGTAGACTTTTGTTCTGATTCGAGTGACACTCGGATTCTGCGCGTACCGGTGTAAATTTCGTACCGGGTAAAATATGGAAATAAATTACCATATTATTATTGGAGGGTGTATACCGATTCGTGAAAATCGAATACGTCACGCGTGCACAGTACAAAAAATACAATGCCGATTTTTCCGTATACGTTGCGTTTGATAATACGAGTATAATATTTATACAAGTACAGGTATAATACGATAATAATATTATACGGACTCCCGCGGTTCTCTGGCAAAATTCGCTCTAGACCTTCAAAGCCACATAATGATATTATGACGTCTGTACGTCTGACCGAGTGTGGGGAGTGTGGTAGGGGAAGTGGGCTGCGTTAAGTTATAAACTCTTGTGTTATAGTCGAACGATTGCAGAACATCGAATTGCAGAATAATAATAATAATAATAATAATTAATAATAAAACCTGGTCGACCGGCGTGCGGTATTTCGACGCGTTAAATCAACAAAAACCGGAAATACGAGTAGTATAGTGGGCATATACGTATATTATTATTTTAGGAAAAGAAAAGAAAAGAATAAATGAAATAACTTTTATGGGCCCCGAGTCGAAATCCGGAGGAATTTTCACTACCATACTATTATATAAAATCACCTTTTGTTTTCTTTTATGATCCACATAATGCGTAGTATTTCCGGAGAAAACGTAAATATTTTCCGTAGCAACAGCCGGTGCGTCTAAGTATCGAAACGAGATATCGGCGGTGTAGAAGCTAATGTAAAGGTGTGTAGTCGAAAACTCGAAAGAAGTTTAATAAATGCGACGCCCGCCGCGGAATAAAACAATAAGAAAATAATATTATACCGTTCGCCTGTACAACAATGTTGTAATGTTGTAGGTACACTAGGGTCGTTACACGGTGGTTTTTGAAAACAAATTAATTCACTCAGGTTACGCCCCTTAGATCGGTTCAGAAAGGCATATAAATGAAACATTAGACATTTTAGGACAATCGGAACAAGTTAATCCGTGCTGCATGAGAGCCCCAAAGTTATTTATTTCTGATTTTCACAAATTAAATTTTGTTTTTAATATCTGACCAATGAGTTATTAATTTTATATTGCTATATTTAAAAAATAAAACTATTATCTAAATTTCATATTCTTTTCTATTTTTCATAGAATTATTATTTTACATACAAATAGCGTTTTAAGTAAACATTTGTTTAATTTAGGTATAATGGTACTATTATATATAATGGTTTATCGATATTATTGACGATAAAATGCAATAGCTAAATTTAAATAAAATTTATGTCTTATCTTATCGTTTGAGATTATTTTGTCAAACAAAACTAATTTATAAGTACGTAGATACTAGGAATATTGTTTAAAGACGTTTTCGTTTTGTCGTGACTTTTGTTTCAATAACATTGTTGTATATTGCATGTATTGAAAATTGTTTTTTGAAAATTATCATAGTTAAAATTGTAGTATACGTGATGCTATCTACATATGCTTAATTGGATATCCACCATCTCAAATTTTCGGTAGTAAATTGCCGTCAATTCAATAAGTGTTTCTGTGTTTTTTTATAATACGCGTGTGCTAAAGCTTAACATAAATGAAAGTTCTAAGTCAGTTATAAATGAAGTAAGTGTTTTCTGGCATAAAGTACTTTTTAAACTCTCTAAATATTAACATTTTTTTTAACAAATGTATGTTAGAGAAAAACATTTTGGAAGTCTTGTCTCCGTGGTGAGTGTCTGTGGAATTTTGTTCACCTGCCTATTAAATGTGGATAAATTAATAATTAAATAACATAACCACATGTGTAGGGAATTAACTGACCGACCATTTTGAACTCGACATCGCGCCTGTTCGGGCCCCGGTCACGCCCGTTCGGCTCGCTTGCTTGGGCAATACTAAAGCCAATAAACTAACATACGTTATTGTATTATCAATTGTTTTTCCATAATCTGTAGTTATGTCGGTCACGAATAATTTGTAGTTGTATTTTTGTAAAACCTAACTAAGCGGTGTTGATAGTTTATGGAATCTGATATCGAAATCGCCAAAGCAAACATTATGTGAGTTTGTCTCGACTCTTTGTTCGATAAAATTGCATAGATTTTTCATAGAAAACTTTTGTGATGCATATATTTCAATGTATGTAATATTTCCTATACAAACTTCTAACACACTCTAGGTAAGCGTTTTTTTTTCTTCGATAAGTATAGGCGTACGGGATATTACTGTATGGGGCTCTGGCTTTTGTGTAGTATTAGTGCTGTGGCACAGCTTTAACAATGGGCAACTGCATTCTTGTGACTTTGCGCCGACCAGCATTTCCCGGTTGAAATTTTAGTTTTATTATATCAACTGGTGTCCAGTTGCCTCAGTCGTCTAATTGTTCACCTTCCTGGGTAAATTTTAGATACTAAATAGAGCAAAGAAGCTTATAGTTTTTACAGAGATGGATTTTTTTCATCCTTTGAACTTGAAGCGAACTGAAAATAACATAATTAAATATATTATTCGCAAACTTCGAAACGATGAATGTAAATCTAGAAATTGTACACGAATGAGTACAGACAGACACATTCAGACAACAATTTAGCATAAATAATTGATTGTTAGCATAGTGTAATGTTTTCATCCAGCGAGCGACCGCTTGATTACGACTGATGAAATTTAGAGCACATTCCATTTCAATAAAGCACCGTTCAGTCACGATTAAAGGCAAACGTGTTTTGTATTTATGTCTGCGCTTTATCAGTGTGCCCGTGTCGTCAATGAAAAACACACGTTTCGTTTTTCGTTTGTCACAATAAAGCGCCTCGAGTCGCTTTAAGGCGCGTTTGTTTTGCCGGCGTTGGTGTGTTATGTTCGCTTCGAACATTTGGTCAGTAGCTCCGCTACAGATCCGTCCGTGTAGCGGATTTAAGATTCCGCCGTTACCTGTACACCAATGCCGGCCGAGTACACGCGTCCTAATCGCTCGGGATAATATTATTATTGTTGTTGTCCGCGACATTGTTATCGTGTCCGATCCGACCGCGCCGAACGACCCGCGGTCCGTCATCGGACTACTGCCGACCGCCCGTTAATAATTACGTTATTGTTAATATTCGCGGTTCGAAAACCCGGTGCGACGCGAAGAGAGGTTTTACCCCCCGCCCCCCCCTCACCCCCCGCAGCGCATTTTACCCGGTCGAATATTACGTTGTAAATCAACGGTCGCCGCGTGTACAGTACGAGCAGCGTTTATTGGCAGACGGGTAGTAAGATTGATAGAGGTGCGTAACATTGTTATAACAATATAGAAAGCGGCGGCGCGGTTCGGACGTCCGGCGACCCCGGAGGATTACAATAATAATGATAATAACGTTACGACGACGACGACGACGACGACGACGACGTGCCTATTTATAACATTATAATACGTTTCAACGATATTACAATAATAATAATAATAATATTATTATTATTATGTGTGTGAGGGTCGTCCGCGCGTTTCAGGCGCGAGGTCAAAGCCGCGATGTCCGCCGCTACCCGGATGCGATCGGTTATAACATCGCGCGCGTCGCCGGAAACCGTCGGCAATCTCTCCGCACGAACGCCATTACCCCCGCGCACGTCGCCGCGTTATTCACGTCGCGTGAACACACGGCGGTATTACGGTCTACGAGTGTGTTTTAGTGGACCGGGCCATTACGACGGTAATAACGCATTAACATATTGTTCTGCGGGAGACGCGCGGGACCTCGGTTTCGTAATAGCGTACGGTGTTCAAACCGATTTCCGTATAATGGCGTTTATCACCATAATAATAATAATAGTACAGTAAAACTCGCCTTTAAGGGACCGGCTCTATTTCGAGAGAGAGCGCCTAAAAAAAAAAAAAAAAAATGATCTATTTTCGTTTGCTAAAGATTTCTAAAAAATTTGCTTAAGAGATTTCGCTGTATTGTTAACGTGACCACCACCCGACGTTTCTTCGGCATTTTCCGCGGCGGACCGTGCATTCCGAATTTCCGATAGGCGTGGTGTGTTTCCGTATTCGTTTTCGCACGACTGCTTGCATTATTTATCGTCGTAACCCGCCGAACAAAACGGCGACTATGTCCGATTAGCGTCTCAACGGTCTCTCTCTTTACATCGACTCGTCGTGTCTTGTGCGGGAAAACGTCTTAAGAGCGGGAGCGTCTTAAACGAGTTTTACCGTAGCATAACATTGTACGGTCGGTCGGTCGGTCGTGTACCCGCGCAGAATCGAGAGAGCGGCGAGCGGCGGGTTCGGCTCTAAGTTCGAATTTTCGAACGTAGGACATCGGTGGAAAATCAAAAGTGGTGGTACCACTTTATCTAGTATACATATATATATGTGTGTACTAGAATATTAGAACACGGCGGGCGGCCAGAGGCGAGCACGGGAAATTTGAATTTCGGTGTTCGCCTGTTGCGCCGATTTCGGTAGCGGTTTACCCGTGTAGTAATTACACGTCTATTATATTGCGCCGGTCAACGTTTCGAAAACAACGAAACTACACGAAAAAAAACGTTTCCTAAATGCCGAGTGAAACGGCTCCCGGATCTTCGGCCGATGTTATACGATGCCCCTCCGAGCGTAATACGTATCGACGAGACGGATATTCGCAGAATGTATTTTAATTCGTATTTTCAAACATCAAGAAACCGATCGGCGCAAACGGAATACAATTATGTACAACGTTCACGTATCGGTCGATGTAGAACGTAGGCAAAATAGGTATACCTTTTTTTATCCCGTAATGCGCAATATTGGCTACACAGGAACTGAGTCTTAACCTGAATAAAACTTTTTAAGGCAGATCGTTTTTCTAGGGTTATATCGATTCCGTGATTTAATAACTGAGTCCCGTCAAACTTTTAAAAAAAAAAATACCAAAATTACATTTTTTATAGAAACGAAATTGTATTTAAATATGAATGGATTTAAATGTTACTTGTGTATAGTTAAAATATTGGTTAAAATTATTATGGACAAAGGTGTTAAAATTAATGGGAAAAATGTATGTGATATACATTTAATACATTCAAATCGTATTGTTTTCTTCGACTGCAACAGCTGCACCTAACCTAACCTAACCTCTCCGATTTCTTTGTCTTTATTTTTGATATCGTTTCTTATATTAATAATACTTCTTAAATTTGTTGAATGTTTCGTATTATACATTTAACAAAACGTTTATAAATTGATAAATGCTTGGATGAGCTGAATAAGACATAGCATTGAATTTTGAATGGAAGGATTCACAACTGTTTGTGATCCTGGCCAATAAATATAGAAATGAGGCCCATATTTCCGGAGGATATTGTGAGCTTTCGGATGTATAACTTTATAAAATATAATCAGTAAAATATTCCACTCAATAATCTTGAGGTAAAATAGAAATTAGGTAATCGGTGAAGCAATTATTGACATCTGGCTGGTGTGAAACCGATATCGAAAAATCGGTACAAGATTGAACAAATATTATTTAAGAAAATTATAGAAAGCATATTTAATTATTCTACTATAAAATTGCACATGATATTGTTGACAAAGCGTCATTATCAATTGAATTCCGCTCAGAATCGTGTTTTCGCAAGCAATGGTTTACCGTTGTTTACAGGTGCACATTAAATTACCTAATATAGCGGCTTCACCCGTCCCCATTATCCTAAGACGTCTTTTTTAAATCTTGTTAAATTTAATTGTACAGTTTTAATTAGTACACAACGCGGGTATTATTAATATTATGCTAATGCCGGCCCGCCGTATCTGCGAACCGTTCCGATCGGTCGGACAATTTGTTTAACCGTTTAACGAACGTGACAAATAAGAAAATGTTACAATTAAGTCTTTTGATGTTATTCTCATAAAAAAACGCGAAATTCGATTGCACATCAATGTACGTTTTCGGCATAATTTAAAACAAATTTGACTTATCCGAGTGTAAGTAACGGCCAGTATCAGTACAATACTGGTTATAGTTTTCTATGGTAACAGCACCGATAAATAAACGTTGCCAAGAAATGAACAAATCATACCGATTATATTGTAATACTAAGGAAATCAGAAAAAGAAATTCGATACAAATCTTTCGTTAAAACATTGAAACGTTGTCACGTGTTATATTCAACTCTGCAAATACACGCAAGCTCAAAAATCGCATTACGTTGTCAATATAAATTACAATGAAATGAAACCTATAAGTGTGTAGTCTAACGAATCTTCGAAAATAACGCACCGTGCAGTTACAAGCGGAACGAAACGAAAAATGTCTCCTTCGAATCGACGTGGCCCGTGAAAATTCTTCACGTGGCTCGTGTTGCCAAAAATGTTGGGAAACACTGGTTTTATATAGGTTCGTGCATTGCAATGTGGCTACAGTGATCGAGGACGCGCGAGGATGTGATGGTCGCGGTCGTCGATAATTCGCCGTGCACTGCTCCAAATCCCCCGATCCTTACTGGCCGGTACAAATTATTTGTATTATATTACTATTATGTGTGTCAGGTTGAGTACAAAACGAAAAGACTACGTGCCGTTATTCAGGTCACTCGGACGGAAAAATAATACACTAATATATTTTTTGTGCATGTAACACGTAACGAGTGGACGTCGTCTTCGTGTCCGAGAGATAATAATATTATATGATACGTTTTTTTTTTTTTCGTTTTCTTTCACGCCCAATAACGACGTGTTTTTTTCTTCTTTTTCGGGTCGGGCACGCCTGATAAACGCCATTCTTCCGCATTCGTCTTTATTCCCGGGCGAGTAGCAGAAGTCAACTATTATTATTACACGTCTAAGGGATAGCCGAGTCATTTTTCGAATTTCTTCAGAGTTTTCTCAACAAGTTTGTAAAACCAAAAAAAATAAACTGTTAAATGCAAGTGATGTAGGTACAACCTAATATATTACGGCCTTCTTTTTTCCTGTGGACAACTTTTCTACCAGCAATTTTATTCCAACTTATAATGATAGTACTTATCAGAAAAGTACTATCAGAAAAGAAATCTGACTGGAAAGGTATTTTTGGGAGGTCATTTTTTCAATGCGAAAAACCCCCCGCAAATGTGAACACCCGGAAAAAAACACGGGATAACCGGGAAAACGTAGGAAAACCGGGAAAATCGATACGACATTAAACAAATATTATTAATTGAAATATACAAAGCCTAGCTATTTATTTTGTTTACTATAGTATGACATATATTTTGTTGACGTAGAATGACTATCAACTAAACTGCGCTCAGAATCGTTTCTTTCGTTAGCAATGGTTTATCAGTTAGTATATATTATTATAGTTCATGGTTACAACCATGAACCATGGTTATAGAACTTTATCCGTGATTGTAACGGTTACATTATTATTCTATTTATGGCACAATACATTTATTGTACATATCTCTTATTTAATATTGTGACCATGATTAATTAATAACCATTATCGTGACGTTATTCTTTTTTATTTATATTATGGTTTATAGTATAATGATTTAAAATACGTCTGAGACAGAAAAATCATAACATTTTATTATTTCCACTGTTGGTATTATAATTAGGAACTACAAATAAATCATAAGCTCCTAATGTTTCTACTAGGTATATGTATACGGAAACCAATTTCGGCCAATAGCACAGGACATTCAATGAGGTTATTTAAAGTATTGTATACTAATATAACATCTAGTGCCGTGCTCAGGAATTTTCAATGGGAGGGAATGCAACAAATAAAAATCGTGAAAAAAGAGTAAAATCGTCTTCTCTACCCAACTCGACTATGGGAATTTGAAAACCGGATTATAAAAAAAGCCAATTTTTATTCAATACATCAAGCTTTTTCTCGGAAATCGGCCGAAATTTATTAG